GTGAATTCTAAATCCTAAGAGGTTATTACATATAACTGTGTCTCAAAAAAAAAAAAAAAAAAAGATAAAAATAACAAAGGATCAGTGTTGCAATGCTCTGTTTTTAATTATATGATGTCAACAATATCATTCTCATTCTTAAATTCATTAAAGTGTGAATAATTCTGACTGTCTCAGAAAAAAGAAAAATAAACAAAAAGAAAAACAAGAAGAAAAGAAGTAATCTGTATGGAAAACAAACTGTAAGTAATTATATTGTTGTAACTCATAAACCAACCTTGTATAGAAAATGTTATAATCCTGCTAAATTTCTTTGTTTTCTGCCTGTATAAGCAAGACCTTCACTTTTAGCTTAGGAGTACTGACCCCCTTTTCTCTGGAGTCTGTGTTTCTTGGATGGCTATTCTCAACTTTTCACTTTAAGACTAATGAATTCTTTAAAACCGGGTTCTGATCCTTTTGAGTATTTCAGGTTAATGAACATAGTGAGTGACAGGACAGACAAGGTCCTTGCCCTTGTAGACCTGCCTCTAGTAGATGAGATAGAAATATATACAGGTAGTAGCTCGAGGCCAGGAGTTGGAGACCAGCTTGAGCAAGAGTGAGACCCCGTCTCTACAAAAAATACAGAAATTAGCCAGGCGTGGTGGTCATGCCTGTAGTCTCAGCTACTTGGGAGGCTCAGGGAGGAGCATCATTTGAGGCCGGGAGTTTGAGATTAGCCTGGGCAACATAGCAAGACCCCATCTCTACAAAAAATACAAAAATTAACTGGGCATGGTGGGGTGGGCCTGTAGTCCCAGCTGTTTGGTAGGCTGAAGGGGGATGATCACTTGAGTCCAGGAGTTTGAGGTTGCAGTGAGCTATGATCATGGCATGGTACTCTGGGTGACAGAATGAGACCTCGTTTCTAAAAAAACCCCAAGCAAAAAATAAAATAAACAGGTCATCACAAAAGAAGGGTAACAGGTTATAAAGGGATTGGATGAGTGCCTTTGGGATAGGTGGGGGTGGGGGGCAGCAAAGGCTGCTCTGGAGAGGCTACAATTGAGCCGGAACCTGGGTGAACAGATCTCAGGAAAGAGAACTGCAAGCAGAGATCAGCAAAAGAAGTAAAGAGGAGCTTGTCAGGTTTGCAAAATAACAAGAAGGAGCAGAGTGAGTAAGCAGGAGGGTGAGGAAAGGTAAGGGGGGTGGGGCAAAGTACAAAGTTTGAACTTTACCTTGAAGGGTACAATAATCTTACAGAGAGCCTAAACATGTATACTTTCTTTTTTTTTTTGAGACAAAGTCTCACTCTGTTGCCCTGGGTAGAGTGCAGAGGCATCATTATAGCTCACAGCAACCTCAAACTCCCAGACTCAAGTGATCCTCCTGCCTCAGCCTCCCAAGTAGCTGGGACTACAGGTGCACTCCACCACGCCTGGCTAATTTTTTCTCTTTTTAGTAGAGGTGGGGTCTCGCTCTTGCTCAGGCTGGTCTCAAACTCCTGACATCAAGCGATCTTCCGGCCTCCGCCTCCCAGAGTGCTGGGATTATAGGTGTGAGCTGCCACACCCCGCCTATATACTTTCATATACATTTATAAACCTATAAAATTGGAACTGCTCTGGGACTGGAAGTGCCATCTCCCCACCTCCCACAGCTTTCTGAAGCACGCCCAAGGAACCTTAGAGTTTGAGAGAGACAGTTGGAAGTTCTTTATGTGGTCCACCCCTCTCATTTCAGATAGGGAAACTAAGGCTGAGAGAGGAGGTAAAAG